TCTCAAAAGATAGTGTACACAGATAGACTTTTGGTTTTGTATGTAAACAAAGCATTGGTTAAAAAAGAAATAATCAAAGCCACAGAACTTGAAGGAAAATGAATGCACATTTGACATTTTTGGAACCAATTAAGAAAAGATTGCCTGTTACTATTTTTAGGTTTTAGTAGACTTAAGAGCTACTAATATTCATGGGCTTTATGAGTGCTTTTTAAACACATAAGTATCAAATCTAACAGAAGTTGGAGTAACAGCTTTAATAATGCTAACTTGCATTCAGGTACTGCTGGGAATTGAACCCAGGATCTCCTGTTTACTAGACAGGCACTTTGACCAACTAAGCCACAGTCCTATTTTCAATTACATACACAGGTAGACTTTTGGTTTTGTATCTCAACAAAGCATTAGTAATAAGAATAATAATCAGAGCCGCAAAATTTGAAGGAGAATTAATGTACCTTTGATGGTGTTTTTGAACAAAGTACCCAAGGAAAGCAAGTAAATAATAATAGATTTTAGTAGACTTAAGAACTTCTGTTATACATAGGGTTTATGAGGGCTTTTTAACACCTAAGTATAAGATCTAACTGAAGTTGGAATAACAGCTTTAATAATTTTAACTTGCGTTCAGGTACTGCTGGGATTTGAACCCAGGATCTCCTGTTTACAAGACAGGCACTTTGACCAACTAAGCCACAGTCCTATTTTCAATTACATACACAGGTAGACTTTTGGTTTTGTATGTCAACAAAGCATTAGTAAAAAGATTAGTAATCAAAACCACAGAACTTGAAGGAGAAGTAATGCACCTTTGATGGTTTTTGGAAAAAAGTGCCCAAGGAAAGCATGTTAATAATCATAGGTTTTAGTAGACTTCAGAACTACTATTAATCATAGGGTTTTTGAAGGCAATTTTAACACATAAGTATCAAATCTTTCTGAAATTGGAGTAACAGCTAAAATAATTCTTAGTTGCAATCAGGTACTGCTGGGATTTGAACCCAGGATCTCCTGTTTACTAGACAGGCACTTTGACCAACTTAAGCCACAGTACCATGTAAAACTGTATACACAGGTAGACTTTTGGTATTTTATGTCAACAAAGCATTAGTAATAAGAATAATAATCACAGCCGCAGAACTTGAAGGAGAATTAATGCACCTTTTATGATTTTTGGAAAAAAGTACCCAAGGAAAGCATGTTAATAATCATAGGTTTTAGTAGACTTCAGAACTACTACTAATCATAGGGTTTATGAAGGTATTTTAACAGATAAGTATCAAATCTTTCTGAAGTTGGAGTAAAAGCTAAAATTGTTCTTAGCTGCGATCAGGTACTGCTGGGATTTGAACCCAGGATCTCTTGTTTACTAGACAGGCACTTTGACCAACTAAGCCACAATACAGTGTAAAATTGTATACACAGGTAGACTTTTGGTATTTTTATGTCAACAAAGCATTAGTAATAAGAATAATAATCACAGCCGCAGAACTTGAAGGAGAATT